GGACACCAACACTCCGAATGAACTCTTTTTCAAACAAACGTCGAAATGACCAATGTGATTGATATATATGTTGTTATGTTTTGTTGTTGATTCTTCTAGTGACTGACCTGTGTAAAGACTGTAAAACAACAACCGATCACCTCTCGGTCGCCCACTTCGCGTTGTATTTGTAATGAATCACGCTGTTTAGCGCTTTTAAGAATTTTTGTATTTGTTCTCCGAAGACCACCCGCCACTTCTGCGATTTGTCGTCCTAAATAACCGTTGACAGATTGATATTATTTCCGTTTGGTCCGGTGCAATTTCTCTGCAAGGGGGGTGCCATCGCGGAAGCAGGCGACAAAATTGAGAGGCATAAACCAAGTCAAAACATTGATTACACAACAGTCTCGTTTCCTGCTGACTGGGTTTCGTCCTATTGCGCAACATAGTACAATAACCAGTCCAGAGTTTTGAGACCAATTTATTCAATGAATTTCTGGTATATTTTATAATAGAATTGTTCATTGTATAGCATTCTTTGTTGTTTGTTGGTATCACACTGAATTGATTTATGTACAGATTTTTAACTAACTCCTCGTCTTAATTAAAATCGAAAGGAAACAGAAATTGGTGTTTTTTTATGTTGTTTTGAGTAAATGTGGTTGTTGGCAAATCTTCTTTAGAACAAGTAAAACGGTATGTACCCGGTCGAATGAGCCAAATGTTACAAACGTGACATAAACTCAGGTATACTTAAGGTCGATGTGAAAGTATTGTCATCACTCCTGAGAATGGCCAATCCCGAGAATGATTCTAATAGCAGCAACATGGAGAAAGTATGATCTTTACATAACCGCTGATCTTAATGTGATGTGAGATGACATGGGCATGGCTTTGTCTCTTATATCGTCTTCAAACTTGTAGAATGTTGTATGCTGTGGATCACACTATGCTGTTCTTGAAGACTCAGGGTTACATTTGATTCCAAATCTAAGTATAGTAACTTCCACACCACCATCCACTACTAAATCTTAACAATCATGATATTTGAATATGTTCACTGCCAAAAAACACACATAAAAATGATATAACCTAGAAATATGTCAGGTAAATGTAAATATATTCGCTAAATATTTGAAAATGTCACGTCATGAAGAAGAATTTAGTAATTCCGGATTTGCTGTTTATTTGCTTTCGATGTGAACGTTGCGTTAACTGTATTACTAAAGTAAGGTAACAAAAGCATAGTTCGCTCGCTTAATTTCCGTTGAGATGGTTTCTCAGCATGGGGTGAAAGCCTTTGGAATTTGCAGCTAGCACGTCGAAATGATCCCGGTACTGTTTATACATGAGCTGATGTATTGTAAAACAAATTCGTGACGTTGAAAATATTATTGTCATGTGTTCAATAAATGATGAAACTCGGTGAATCATGGCGATTTTTTTATCAAAACGTTTCCTCAAAACGCAGCTGTTCACATGAACGATATTTGCACATGCTTTTCAGCAATTTGATGCATGATCCTCGTACAATTCATCTGCATAAGGTTTCCAGATGTTTCCCCCAAGTTAGTGGAGAAATTCATCTTCGTTGTAACCATATGTACATACAACTCATAGTGATTGATTTAAGCGAGTCTAAACTTTTGATGGGTAGTATAGTTAAAACACCGTCGATGTGGGGATGTGAAGGGCTATATGTGTTACACAATGATGTCTTCAGCGATTTGCCAGTAAGAATATGTGAGGGGGAAGATGGACTGTTGATAGCTCAACATAAGTGATGTTTTAATGACGAGTCTCAGACAGTTATTCGAAAAGAAAAGACTGTGTGTCTTGGGGAACAACTAGCTATATAGCGAATGAAGCATATCTGTCACTAGTCAGCGTCTGTTACACGTTAAGATGGGAGGTTTTAGCATTTGATGGTAGTGGCACTTCATCCAGGGTGGATAGTAACAATTGCGCTCAGTTATATACTCCTCACAAAAAATTAAGCAACAAGTATTTTCAGTGTAATATCTTTATCAATCTCGATAGCGATTTTTGCCGACATGTTACTTAAAGGTAAATATTCAAAGAATACATAACCTTAAGTGACTGTCAAATTGATTTTTCTGATACCATTGATTACATCACCTGAACACAACCACACTCAGAAACGACATGCAAAATGTGTGGCATGAATGTGCTCCACTCTTCACACATGCACCCTGATCGGTGTAAACCTATCTGTAATCATTCCTCTGGTACAACAAGCGGGTCTTAACTTCATTTTTATGGATGATAATGCCCGTCCATGGATGATAATACCCGAGAAAGAGTTTATAACGATGTTATTTAGATCAGCAACATCACACATATGGACTGGCCTGCAAGGTCACTTGATCTTAATCCCATTGAACATGCTTGGGACATTATTGGAAGTCGTGTTTACGGTCTCCATGTTCACTCCTAGACTCTGGATGACCTTGAGCAGGTGTTACAAAGAGAATGGCAGAACATTCCACAACAGAAACTGTAAAGGCTCATTTGATCAATGCCAAGACGCGTAGAAGCTTGATTTATGCTCGTGGTGGTCATACGCGTTACTGAACACTGCTTCACTGTCCAAAACTGACTTGAACCTGAATGTTAACATTTTGTTCCATCAATGCAGCACATTTTGCACGACTGTTTCACGGTACATGCTTTTGATGATTTGTAAGTCTAACATTGCTCAATGCCATTTCTTTTCATTTTTGTTAATCGTGTGTACATATGTTTCACCTTTCTATTGCATCATTCCATGATTTGCAATTTCAATAAATGAAAATATAATGAGACTTATAATTTGTGTTGCTTAACTTGTTCGAGGAGTATATATGAAAAATGTCTAGAGCACAGCTCACTTATCCTACACAATGGCAATGCCCATACTAATCGACGATTTTCTATTTGATATCATTGAACAAATAAAGTACTGTCTAATATCTGAAACACGTAAATGTATATTAAATGGATTCATTGCGCTGTACATTCAATATGAAGAGCGGCTTGGCATAAATGACCAAACTTGAAGTTCCTCTATGACGTCAAGAGATGACATTCGGTTACCCACGCATAAGGAAAAGGGGTATGTCTCCACTGTGCTTCGCACTAGGTCATTGTCATTATGACGTCAAGAGATGACATTCGGTTACCCATGCATAAGGAAAAGGGGTACAACTCCACTGTGCTTCGCACTAGGTCATTGTCATTATGACGTCAAAAGATGACGTTCGGTTACCCACGCATAAGGAAAAGGGGCACAACTCCACTGTGCTTCGCACTAGGTTACTGTAGCTGAGATCACTTGGTGGGAATCTGCTGTGGACAAGGACTATATATTTGTAATCTTTTGCCCCCGAGGAATCACACTATTCCATCATACTGAATCACACTGTAACCGTTTGTAATTCGTTTCGGTATGATCACAAATGGAAAATAACTCTTACATTTCCATATTCTCTTGTTTGTGTACGTGTATTTTGACTAATGTTGCATTAATATGAACGGAGTATTAGCCGTATTTCTGTTATGCAAATACTGAAATCTCAACACCATTCTATTTAACGTCATGGCATGTATGTCTTTTGCGTCGTCGGACAAAGGTGACATTGGTACATTGATAAAATATATGTCACCTAATTTCCGTTCACAGTAATACTGGAAATTATAATGACTATTTTACAATGTGAATGATGTGAATACACAAGGAACAAAAAGTTTACCATGGATCTTTATTTGACAATCAGTTTGGAGCGAAATCAAAAAAGAATGTTTTTCACATATTTGACTTTGTCCAAGTATTACATGGCACGTTTTAAATACATGTATATTGTTTACAATTCCTGCAGAAGTAAAAGTAACACGTTTACACAATGCTATTTAGAAAGTGTAGCAAATGTCAAATGTAGCATATGTTATAAAAGTAACACATTGATATCCTGTCATGACAATATTGCATTTTAAGAAAATACATTGTGATTATTCAATGCAAATCGTAAAACCTTTAATTTTGGTACTAACCAGCACCTGGCAAATCTTTCGACTTCACAATTTTGTCGATCAAAGGACATAACATACAATTCATGATCAAAACGATTCCTTTACAAGTGTGTGCATGTACATTTGATGAAAGATATTAACCATTTTATAGTAATATATTCAAGTTTGTATATAAAAACAAAACAAAAGCGCCATTCATTAACACCACAAATCAAATTACAAATACGTACATGCTATCGTTATGCTTCTGTTTCATCGTATTGTAGAATAAGAAACATATATAAATATATATAATGAAAATAACTGTGTGACAAAATATGTAAAAGATATGCAGCATCTTCATGATAATTTGCTCCTTAAACACCGGGATAACACGATCGTCTACATGTATTCAATCAAACTTCACCTCAAAGAAATTAACTACCCGTGAGGGTCCGGGTTAGAATGTGCCTTCAGTAACCCATGCTTGTCGTAAGAAGCGACTAACGGGATCGGGTAGTCAGGCTCGCTGACTTGGTTGACACATGTCATCGGTTCCCAATTGCGCAGATCGATGCTCATGCTGTTGATCACTGGATTGTCTGGTCCATATTCGATTATTTACATACCGCCGCCATATAGCTTGAATATTGCTGAGTGCGGCGTAAAACTAAACTCACTCACTCACTCAAAGAAATGAACACTGTTTACAGAAATGTTCGTGCATGGCATTACAACCTGTGATCAATTTTTACAAAATGGTGCTCGCTGAAATTTGTTGAGTAAGGGATCGTATATGCATAAATGTTTACGTAACGAGAAACATTCTTACGATCAGAGTCTGAACAGTCACTCTTTTCACAGTCCTTTCTATAAATTTATTGGACTTCACCATTATTACAGGGAACGAGATATGACTGGAGTTGGAGCGAATAGGGGACATTGGTATATGGGACCTTAGGTCGAGAATGCCATGCAAAGTTGAATATATCTATAAGGAGTACTATCAATCTGGAACAGATCCACCAGTAACAGCAAAAAATAAGGCACACATATTAAGCAATAAAATGTGCCCTGGAATATTCATAATCTGACAGATTATATAGCCGTACAGTTGGAATATTGATGAGTGTGGAGTTAAACAACAAGCCAACCAACAAACATGGTATTAACTACTGACATCTCATCACAAACATTTTTAATGTGTTAAGGTAATCATGGCATAATTTATCTCTGCAGTCGAATCTGATTATGGACATCTTATAGTGTGTGTTACATAATTCACAGGTAACATCATCTTTGTATTATTATCTTTTATGTTCAAAAGTGACAAAAGAGAGTGAGTGTGCCCTACACAGTTCCTTCACACTACATCTGGACTGGCGGGTTCACACAGAAGGATACGGTGACACAGAAGTGTGATCCATTCTGAAATAAGAATAATGATTATAATACAGTTTATTCTATTTGATTAGAAAATCGAACAAGCCCCAAAAATGTAACCCCATTGCCACTTGAAAGCTCCAAATATTTATATTTTTCTGCCCCCAGTAATATTCAGTACAGTATTTTAAGGAGAACGATTCAATCAGTAATTGTGAATTTAGGATTTCTTCGAAATCAGAATTAAGACACGTGTAATGAATTCCTTTTTGGAAGCAGAATACTTGTGAAGGCTCTCTGATGTGTTTAGGTGCTAATACTATTTTGAAATTTATACATATATTCACCACATTATGCAATGCAACAAGGAAGCAGTTACGTGCAGCAGAATAGTAAAATATGCATTGAAAATGTATGAAATTGTTGTCTCTATGAGAAAGGATGGTAAGTTTTACGTATCCCGACATAGTGACAAGGGAGTCATGTCTAAACTAAAACAATATTTCGGTGACGAGTTTGATATTAATTGTTCCGAGGTTATTCATAGATATAAATCACACAAACAAGAAACACCCCTGAAATAAATCCTTTCTTTGGTTTGGTGCAGCAAGAACCATGACGTATTTAACACGAGCAAGACTTTGACGTAAGTGAGTCACAATCCCATTGTTGCACAGATATATTCTTTGAGCCAGACACAGTTCATCCTGAAGCTAACTGAGACTGATATGGCATTACTGTTTGTGAGTGAGTTTGATTTTGACAGACAATATTTCAATTGTATATATCATTTGTATATAGAGCTTCACACTGTCAAGATCACCCAGTAATTTTGTTTGACTGACATGTACCTCTTGAATTAAGTAGAATTTGCGGAATACTTGTAAATGTATATAATTATGCATCGCGTTGCTTTATAATGTTCCATAATGAATGGTGTATGTAGGAAAACCGATACACCTTTGTGTCCACGCAATAATCCTGCAATGAAGTTACCAGAAATTGCTTTGCTGACCTCAAAGTTTTCACAATGATCTCGGTAAAAAAGGAAACATAGTGGTAAAAATTAATGAAAGTAGATGGGGAAGGTTACTTACTATTGACCCTGGCCAGATACCCCATCTGCCACCAGCGACTCCTGGACAGGAAGTAGAGAGGGACACCCAGCAGAGAGACACAGAAGGTGGGCAAGTACAGGCGTGGGTCGAAGGTGATGGCTGTGACAGATAGCACCAGGAAGAACACAACGTAGATGACGGGAAACAGCCAATTGACCTTAAGGAGGCAAAAGAAGAACGGACAATTATTTTAAAGATAAAAATAATAATCAGTATGAGGAAAGGCATGCTTTGGTTATATCAGATTGCACCAAGAAAAGGCAATAGTTTGTCCTTCAAGGTATTATCTAAAAGTCTATTTCTATATACATTAACCAGTAAGAACACAACGTAGATGACGGGAACCAGCCAATGGATCAAACGAAGGTATAAGAAAGACGGGCAATTTTTAATTTTAAGATCAGCCTTACAGCCAGCATTAGGAAAGTTATGTTTCACTTTTCTCAGATTATCGCAAACAAATCCTCAAAAAGGAAAGAAGATGACATTTTGCCTTTCACAGTATTACCTAAAATATGTTGACATAACAATCTATTTCGATACATATAACACCCGTTTCCCTTCTGGGTGTCATCTTAGTGTCACATTGGCATTCATTATTGATATCAGACATGAATGCTATGTTGAATTGTTATTTTCAGTAATAGCACAGTAAATTTTATATCAACAAGGCTCTTATCTCTTCAACAGAAGTATGTGCACACATAACAGTATTATCTAAATATGTTGCCATAACAATCTATTTCTATATACATTAACGAAGTGATCAGAAAAAGAATCTGCTTTCTCCATTTTCGATGCAATCATAATTTCAAGTAAATTGCCATACATTTTTCATTATATCAAACATTATTATCGTCAGTTATAGTACATGCATGCATGCTTGCAAGAGCACAATACAATTTACGTCATCAACCATTTGAGCCACAGCGAAAACATGCGCTCATATAACAGTCTCAGCTACATTTTCTCAAAATTCAGTGGATAAGCAGAAATGGTTTTATCTGAACATTGTTACATACCTGTAATAAAAACGCAATTCGCATGAAAGATTCTTTTCAATATCAACAGTGAGAAGCTACAATGTATGCATACAGATTTATGGCGCCAGATTAAGAGAGGCAGTCCTATAATCTTCTTTAGACTTGGTACAATCCATATCTTTGCTTTCGCACACACATTCGTTGTTTTAACATGAACTGATCATGGTACTATAGATTCATATATTTCACGCTTCATGTTGTTTGTGTCTTATCGTGTGAAGCGTTATTCAAAGTAAATAACAGGGGTTAAAGTATTGTAAAAATATTGTCCACCTGAGAAGGTATGTAAGTCTCGAAACATTCAAAGTCAATTTCAACTTACCAGATTTTTAAACGTAGTATTTTTGTGACTTTAGATAATAGCTAAATTTGACAACAGTCGCCAGCGGCTGAAGGGATTATATAAATCCAGCTAGGGTCCATGCAGGTAGCAAATGTTCTGTAAGTCCTCATGGTCAACCTTCAGTTGCCGGCGATCTATATCCTGTTTTCATATTGTGTATTGTCCAAATAATGTTATTATTTTAATGTTACATGCTACATCGGCTGAAATATTGCCGATGTGACGATAACTTTTAACTCACTCACTAACCTCAAGCATGCATCTATATTGCAATGGAATAAGGCACATACACCACACTGACACCATGGTTTACACACAAGGTTCCTAAACGTCAGATCATTGCAAAGGACTGGGATATTATATTTTGCATGTCTTTACAGGAAACATTTCCCACCTATTGTTCGTAATGGAATTTTGACAGAAAGCGTGGCTTTGTTAAATTCTTTACAAGCATGGTACATCTTTAATGATTTAAACATTACTGCTGACTCTTGATGCATGTGTTAACTAACTAATGATAAACTAAAAATGGTTTGCTGCATGTCCTTATCACTTGATGCCATTGCCATGGCAAAGGACTGGGATTTTATGTTCCACATATCTTTACAGGAAATATTTTTCACCTATTGCTAGCAATTCAAATTTGATAGCAAACATTGCTTTATTTAGTACCATAGTATGTCGTTAATGTTTTGGACATTACCATTGATTGCTCTTTCATGTGTTAACTATTGGGATAAACAAGGTTTTCCTGTATGTCCTAATCACTCTAGTGCTACCTGGTAAGTGTTGTCTTTGGCTGGATGCCTCCGTCGTATGATGAATATCCCAGCGACTGCCAAACACTCCCCGCCAGACTTGAAGAAAGAATAGGCTCCCAGAACAGTTTTGATATCTCCGAGACACATGTAGATAGTTGCGAGTATAAACTGTAATGAAAATTATTTAATAAAGCTGCCAATTAAGGCGGGTTGCTGTGATAACGTGCATTTTACAGAAAATCGTCCGGGGTTCGATTCCCAACATGAAACACATTGTTGTTGTTCCCGCCGTTACATGGCGGGGATATCTCTGAACGTTTGTGCAATTACAAGTTTACCTGTAAAATTCAAAAACACAGTTTGGATGATCATAATGAAAAGAAAAGGCAAAATCCTGTAATTGCCAGGTTTCCCTACACATCAGAGCCATTTTTATCTGAAAGGTTTCGGAGGTGGATGGGTAAAGCAGTTACATGGTAAATGGTTCAATGGGAAACGACAAATGAGACGAGTCTGTCCTGCTTACCATCACGAGAATGGCAGGTTGTGGAGTTCTTCTATGTACGTTGATCATGCTAAGGAACCGAGGAAACAGTCTATCACGACCTCCCACAAAGTACGTTCTGAAATTGTTGCAGGAAAATATCTAGATTCGTGAATTTGGCTACTGGTTATATTATTGTCTTATATATGTTATTTGATTATCAAAAATGTTTCTTCATCGAAGACATGCATCTTAGACAGCGTTGTGACCTCCAAAAGTATTAGGGTTTGTGTATTTTATTTGTGTATTTCGATGCAATTTGCTCAGTGCAGCATATAGTCTTCATAACATTTCACTGTCATTACAACCAACACATGCAACTACGACCCGTGAAGATTCGGGTTAGAATTGATCTTCAGCATCCCATGCTTGTCGTAAGAGGCGACTAACGGGATCTGGTGGTCAGGCTCTCTGACTTGGTTGACACATGTAATCGTATCCCAATTGCGTAAATCAATGCTCATGCTGTTAATTCAATTATTTACAGACCGTTATCATAAAGCTGGAATAGTGCTGAGTGCCGCGTTAAATAAGATATCAACCAACCGATCCCGGAGCACATATGCCCATAGGTGCAATAACACTTTTTCCCTAAACTCAATTCAGTTGGATATAAGTTCGTTTAGCAAGAGCTTCTAACCCTTTCGACATTGTAAGTGTTAACAGAACAAACATTTAATTAAAAACTCCATTATTTTATACACATATTTTTACCGTATCTGTTCATATCATAATTCATAGCTGTAGAAATGCAGTTAATTCTTTCTGGCTGTTTGTAAAAATAAGAGAACATATCAAATAATAAAAGTGTGTGACAGCTTGTGCAGAGTGCCTTAATTATCTTACATGTGAATATGCGCATATGAATTGCTACTGCGCAAAGAACAAAAACAACAAAACATATTTTCACAGATTTTAGAAAAATATACTCTCACAATGAAAATAGCAATTTCATGTTGCAATGAAATAAAACGTGATTCATTTTACAAAAGGTTTTGCTCTGTTGATCGCTGTCTGTCGATTTACACTGTATTTGGAATATTGTTGACGAACGCAAAATGCCACGTCTAAGTGAAGCCAACCGTCATATCGCCATTGGTTTGCTTGAAGCTGGCCAGTCTCAACGTGCAGTTGCCCGACGCATGAATGTTCACCAAAGCACCATTTCACGTCTCTGGGAGAGATATCGCCGGCAGAATTCGGTAGCAGATGATGCCCCTCGTAGTGGGCGACCTCGAGCGACCACTGCGGCGCAGGATCGCTACATCCGGGTACATCACCTGCGTCATCGAACAGCTACGGCGACCAGTACCGCTCGACAAATACCCGGATTGAGGAGGCTTTCTGCACAGACCGTCAGGAACAGGTTGAGAGAGGCTGGTTTACGAGCCAGAAGGCCTTATTTAGGCCCTGTGCTTCGACAACAACATCGTCGACATCGAGTTCAATGGTGCACCAACGTTCAGGCCTGGAACCTACCGAATTGGCGTAGAATCTGGTTCAGTGATGAATCACGATTTCTATTGGAAGGACGGGATGGAAGAATGCGGGTGTACAGACGTCGACGTGAACGTTTCGCCGACGCTTGCGTTCCCCAGGTGGACAGATTCGGCCGGGGAAGTGTTATAATGTGGGGAGCGATCACCTGCCGTAGGAGAAGTGATTTGGTGATGATCCAGGGCAACCTGACAGCTCAACGGTATTGTGACGAAATCCTACGCCCACACCTCCTTCCAATCATTGATCGCCAGAGGGAGTTGTTTCAACAGGACAATGCCAGGCCCCACACAGCACGTCACACTAGAGACGTCCTCCAGAACCACAACATCAATGTGCTCCCCTGGCCCTCAAGATCACCGGACTTAAACCCGATCGAACATCTGTGGGATGCCCTGCACAGACGGGTGCGCCGCCGTAACTATCAGCCCAGACACTTCAGCAACTCGCACAGGCACTACAGGCAGAGTGGGCTGCGATTGTGCAACACGGGATTCTGAGACTTATTCGTTCGATGCCGAGGCGATGCCGTGCAGTTCTGGATGCCCAGGGTGGTCACACGAGGTATTGACTTCAGCGCCACCACACGTCTCCATGTGACACTCAAACTGACTTTGGTGCCAAAGACGGATAAGTCTGCATTCCCAGTGTACAAATTTGCTATATTTCATTGACTCATAAAGCCTACAAGATGTTTCAAAATAAACATAAAAATACAGTTGAAATTCCTATATGCGTTTCTTTTTTGGGAGAGTATATATATATGAGACGATATTTGTGCTCCAACCAGATCTTGACTGACCAATATTGAGGCTAATATATTACTGCAATAACTATCATAACTGCCCCATATCTTTCAATATTTGAAACATGGAACTGAGGAGAAGTCAGAAACATATTGCTGATATTCTGTTCACAATATAATACCTTGAATGATGACAGCCGTGTGGCTTGAGGCGTTTTTCGTCCATGTACAGTTCCTAAATGCACACACACACACACACACACACACACACACACACACACACACACACACACACACACACACACACACACACACACACACACACACACACACACACACACACACACACACACACACACACACACACGGTTTGTATTTTTAAAAAGTACCTGCTGAAAATGAAGATGTTAACATTAGCAATCCCTCCAGCTGATACTGCCACACATGAAAGCACAACCCACTTGAGGAATCCCAGCTTCCTTTCTCCAAATACCTTGAAGAAGATGAAGTATGCTTACCAAATGTTTTGCAGACACGTATATTTGTAGAGTGAGTTGTCACAAATATTGGCATGATCACCATTCATATGTCAACCAGTTAACGATGAATGCAGTTGAGTGGGCCAACTTTTACAAAGTAAAATAAACAAACTTAAAATTTATTCGCATTATGTCTGGGATGAAACCTTCACATCGCTTGTTTTACAGTTGTTTACTTGAAACGTTTAGTTCACATGCTACCCATATGGTCACGACATGTAAGAATTATTCTTAAATTAATTCCATCATGATGACGGTTTACTTCTCGTTGCAAGGATTTTGTACTTTCGGTTTTTCCTCAGAGCATATTGATGAGGACCAATGCCTGTCAATGGGTGGAAACAGATCCCCAGTGCATCATGCTTGATGCGAAATACGATTAAAAGGCGCATAATCGGCAGTCACCCAACTGAATGACATAACAATTTCAGTTTTTCCTGTGTGTCTGGTAATTATTTAAACACTTAACTGACTTAGAAATACTTTTGAAATTAGACACACAATGTGTTTGCCAGACCCAGGTAATATGTTGTTTTACAAAATTCATTCTTAAAATTAAGTCATTTCTTGCGTTTGTTACTTACATAGGCTACAGCAATTCCAGATAGGATTTCGCCATTTGTTAGAACAGCATGGTAAGCAACATTTGCCAGAAGATATCCTAAGGTCGGAACTGCGAGTCCTCCAAAGATGGCTAGAGGGATGTTTCTACAAGGAAAGAAACCACGAGAAGGGTCAGTTCATCATTTGCATATGGCACACAAATGACATTGTTACGGCGTATTTTCTGTTAAATGTCTTAAAACAAAAATGCGTATTTGACCAAAGCTGACAGTTAACAGAAAATGAACTACCTGTATGGGTTACAGATTTCCTCCACCGCAGTATTGACTATTGACCTGAAATACAATATCACTGTGTGAAATAATAACATGGAGAATATAATCAGCAAATATCAGTCTTGACAAGTTAGAGTGATACCACCGTAATTGTTAGGGATGTTTACGAGTGAAGTTCCGGGTTAGCTTTGGTCTTCACCAACCCGTGCTTGTCGGAAAAGGCCACTAACGGGATCGGGTGGTCAGACTCGCTGACTTGGTCGACACATATCATCGTATCCCAATTGCGTAGAGGGATGCTGATACTGTTGATCACTGGACTTTCTGGTTCAGACTCGATTATTTGAAGACCGCCGCCACATAGCTGGAATAGTGTTGAGTGCGGCTTAAACAACCAACCAACCAAGGGGATGTTTTGTCATAATGTGCCCATCTTTCCAAATACATACGGTTGTCCGTCTATTTTGACAGACCCGTGAAGATCCGGGGTAGAATAGGTCTTCAGCAACCCATTCTTGTCCTAAAAGGCGACTATGCTTGTCGTAAAAGGCGACTAACGGGATCGGGTGATCAGGCTCGCTTACTTGGTTGACACATGTCATCGGTTTCCAATTGCGCAGATCGATGCTCATGCATGCTGTTGATCACTGGATTGTCTGGTCTAGACTCGATTATTTACAGACCGCCGCCATATAGCTGGAATATTGATGAGTCCGGCGTACAACTAAACTCACTCACTCACTCTATTTTGACATGTCGCTAGTCCACATTTTGTTTATATACATTGTGGTGGCAATGATGCAAACCGATACATGCAATTCTAAATTCCATTCAGGCCATCAAGCAATGGATAAGGTCTCATTAAAAAGCAAATGCAAGGAAATAGTAATCCATAAGTATACATCATGAATACGAAAGAAGGTATTGTATTGCTGTGGTCTGCATAGAAATTGAGTTGGATGCACTATAGACCAGTGGTTCATCATGTTCAAACTGCTTCCTTGCCATGGTACGATAACACGAAATCTGCAAAGGCGCCGAACCTCAACATCTGAGTGAACATCGTTGTCTCTTATGACACTCACCAGCCAGTAAATGCAAACAGCCCTGCATAAAACGCCAGAACAACACCTTCTGGAGTAAGGTGAGTGGTTTTGAATGGTTCACTGAAGTTATCTGTGTGTCCTGAAAAATATGTAAACATTTTCGTTGTTGCGTGAAATACTACTACACAAGTATCACTCCCGCAGATGTATCTTAGGAAGAATGTAACAACTGATTAGTGCCACTGTGAATATTTAAACATGTTACGAAGAATGAACAATATCAACGTGGCTGTAGTCATTCAGCAGTGTGTTATATTAAAGCGAGTGAGTAAGTATGTCTTAACGCCGCTTTTAGCAATATTCCATCAATGTCACGACAGGGGACTCCAGAAATGGGCTTCACACAGCGTACCCATGGGGGGAATCAAACCCAAGTCTTCGGCGTAATGAGAGAGCGCTTGAATAACTAGACTTGATTTATTTCAAAGGTAAGCTTTTTTGTATACTACAATCAATCTCTTATGCCACATCTTGTTATGTCCCTCATTGGTCGTCATTTACGACATGCATTGGGTACTGGTTATGTTTTGTGCCCCAGAATTCTCATGATCTTTAACAAACAGTCAACAGAACAAGGTCTGTAATCGGATCGAATTGCTGCTACAGTATTTCGAACAGGTTGCTAGCAGTGTATACAACTTATTCAGCTGCATGTAATCTTCTTATTAATTTCAAAACATTTTATTGCCACAAGGGTCATGTTTCTGATAATTATAGCATACCTTGTCCAATATGAACCATACCGGCAACGATAATGGTAAGCAGAGCTGTTACTTTACATACAGTGGTCACAGTCTGTAGTCGGGCTCCGAGCTTGACACTGTACATATTGGCCATCACAAAGAAGCCTGAAATGAGTGTTGCACAGTGAGTTATTATTATTATTATATTTTACAGATTAAAGATGAAAATGCAGCAGAGAGGGTTCGGGTGATCCTGGCACAGTCAGGCTGGTAAGGCTCATCATCAGCTCAGGGCCCTTGCCCCCTCTACACGCAGCCCAGACAGCGAATGGGACTTCTCCCAGGAAACGCTGCCTAGTCGAACCCACCAAGAACTTTCCGGAGAATATGAAGGCTCCCAAACACTGCAGCCTTCTGCATTACCCAGAGTGTCAGAAGGGCTGTGCTCCCGGTGGAGAACCCGAGCACTCTCCTGATCTGCGCCAAGAGTTCAGGAGGTACCAAACCAAGGGCACCGAGAACAATGGGGAGTCTGACGACAGTGTACTTGGGATGCAAGCGAGACATTTCAAAGGCAAGGTCCGCATATTTATCATGCTTTTCCTGAATCTTGCCAATCACATTGGTGTCAAAAGGGACAGAAAATTCAATGATATATATAAATGCATTGTTTATTATTATTATTATTATTTTAGGATATTCATATAGCGCACATATCCAGGCAACTAGTGCATGCTCAAGGCGCTGGTATTTTTTTCCTTCGATCAATGGATGTCAATCTCAACGGCACATCATATTATCAATCATTCTGTTGCACAGTGAGTGTTGCTGAACCTTACATGGGACAAGGTGTGGCAGCGTAATATTGCAAAACCATCCAAAATCATTCTGTTCACAGACGTGTACTGTCATGAGTCACCATACCAGTCGGTGAGTGAATGTCTTATTATCACATTGTACCAGTATGAAAGAAATTGATGCAGATCTTAAACGTATTTCACCTTCGCTGTTCAGGAAGATATTTGGCAAACTAAATATCTGAGTAAATGTTGCTGTGGAGCCAACACTGGGCAACAAGTTCTACTTGTTCATGTGTGTTAATACTAAATGGAATCGACTGTGCCACATTACTGTAAGAAAATTACAACAGTTACTCTAATAACAAGAGGCATGTATTACCAAGGATGACATATCCAACCATGACTTTGGATGCTGTAGGCGCCATGTCCGGACAGGACAGGAAGAGAGGTCTCATGATGTACTGTGCAGCCGCCAAACACGCCAGGGCCGTGGACAGGGGGCGGCCAATGAGGAAATCAGTCCACAGAAACAAAAAGCCAACAAAGTCTCCGAATGCTTCTCGGATGTAGGTATAAGTACCCCCTGATTTCTTCAGTCGGGTGCCTTGAATAGACCACATGAGATCAACAACTGTACAATCAGTCACTGGGTGGGTTGGATATTCTGAATTTGATTTAAACTCTAGCGATAATTCATTGTATGTATTATTAACATTCTCTATTTGCTCCTCTTTGTAATATCGTGTGTTTGTTGTTTAACGCCTGACTCAGCAATATTCCATTTATATTGGTTTGTATTACTTACTTCCATTAATATGACCAATAAAGTGTACATCAACTTACAAGGCAACCCATGCTGTAATTAATGCTCTATTACTTCATGACTGCCTCCGTTTTCTTGATTTAATGGATTTAAAACTTGAACATGTCAATCCCTTGGAGGACTGGATTTCTTGGTGTTCAAGCTGCTCCATTTAGACTTACGGGGGCAAGTGTAATCTGGAAGCTTCTAGAACATTACAAACCTGTCGAGCATTAATTGGAAACAGCTGGAAGCTTGTTAAGACTACATAAGGGGGAAGCGTATTCCTCCTTGGCCTACTTGGGAAGCTTTACCACTGTCGCTGCATATCGGTCATCAAACGGTGAAATAGCCAATTTTCTTCCTCTGATAACTCTCCATGTGATGAGAGGAGTGACATCAACTTTTCGATCATCAACGTTCCCTTTATGTCCAGCAAAGTTCTAGCTGCTTCAGGATTTTGTGTCCACATTTCACAACAAGCATGCACTTAAGCGGATATTTCAAGAGAGTCACTGGACTCTTGCTCAATCAAGGTTATAACATAGGTTATAACATATAAGATAGGTTGGTATCAAAAGTGAATATATTATTAGTTTCGGCTATGTATGGATAGCAAGATGTTGGTGACAAAATGTTTTCTTGAGAATTTTATACAGCGTTGCAAAGACATTTATTATCAAGAATGGTATCAATATATAACTTTTTTCAAATCTTTGGTGTTCTATTCAACCATAAAGATTGTCTGTTTTCTTGAAAAATATCTTGTAAATATTAGTTCAAAAGATGTAAGGAGATGTTTGACAAAACTCCGTTGCAATGTACATGATTTTAATGTTAATTCGTATAGATACTCCAAAACCTATTAAACTGCGTTTTGTAGTTCATGTGTGACTGAACAGGAAGATGAATTCCATATATTATATTAGTATGTCCTCTTTACAATGAGTATCGTTTTAGATATTTACCTGAATACTATCGTATTTACTTTCATGTTCAAATGTTCATTGAACTGGTGAGAACAAGTGATAAGAATAGACCCTTAAGATTTTGTATCTTTCTTAAAAAAAGGGTTTGTACTTCGATCGAAACAAAAATCCATGTGAACATATCTACTGATGTAAGAAGATCTATATTTTCAGTATGGTGCATTTGTTTTAATTGTTTTACACATGTGTATTGTTGGTCTCATGGCCATCTATGCGTAAAAAATGGTGATAATGTTATAACATCCAGACCCTGCTTAAAGCTTTCAAGGTGTGTGGCACAATCTGACACACCTGATGTTCGATGCAATTACCTATTTTAATTTCAATTGCTTTGTATTGAGCTTTTAACGAGGGCAGGATACGCTCGCCTAAGCACGAACACATTGTGTCATCACTGTTTCCTTGTAAACTCCCATGTTCACTATTCAATCGTATAAATTCCTACTTTCAACAGAAATAGTTTTTATGAATAGGGAAAGGGTTTTGTCACAATATGAAATGTACTCGAAATATTATGGTTGTGCACACAAAGCCAAGTAAATATAATTTGGTATGTCAAGTCAAATGACGTCACAGAGTTGTAGTAATCATTATGTCTGTAATAAACGTTCAAGTTATAATTACTTCTGCAATTATTTAGGAATAATATTTGTTCCATTATGTATCCATTTTCCCTCTTTTCGGGGGATATCAAATGATGGCCTTTTCCTAATATAGGACAGATACAAAGACCAAGACTACAGCCAGAACCAAAGGCCAGAAAGAGTACCATATTCAGCATAGCACATGGCAGCACAATAGGTCAAAGCTCCACACATCGTCCACACCAGCAGAGACAAGCCCACGGAGGACCCCATCCCTTCTAGTATGACAGATGGGCTGATGAAGATACCAGTCCCTGTGTGTGAAGACAAATGATAGATATTAATGCCAGAGAATATGACCATTGTCGAATATCTGTCGAAACAGATTCCATGATGCATAAAAGGCAAATGTACTGTAAGTCCCCATGGTCTCTAGTATGGTGATCTACCTTCAGCTGTTGGCGATATATAGCCTATTTTTATATTGTGTTAGTTAAAATATTTTAGATTTAATTACTAGTTTTACATGTATATCTGTGATATTCTAGTTGTTTTACTGTCCTTCGTAGGCAGGTTGTATAATCTACATCTATTCTATTTCAATGTAAAATGTTCACCTCACGATATGGCTGAAATATTGCCGATGTGACGTTAAATATTAACTCACTCACTCACTCACAAACAATGTTACATACAACGACAACATAATTTCCATAACCATAAGACGTCTCAATTAAGTTTCCGACCATACCATGAACATATGTGTATATCATCTATTATTTAGTCTTGCTCACTGACTCACCTATAATATTGCCGATCATGTAACTCGTAGCGCTGACCAACCCGAGCTGTTTCTTCAGGGTTGAAGTCCTCCCTACAGTGGATTTGTCTGCCATATTGGTCCCTGCAACTTCGCTGTCCATAGCGATCTGATATATAAACATTAAAGCAACAAGAAGAGATAATTATTTTTAACACATATCATATACTCACAAAGTAAGTATATCGTTGAGCGAAGTTGCCGCCAATATTCCAACTGTAACTATTCTGTACGAGGTGATGAAGTTCATTTGTACTTTTTGGAATATGTTCTGTTCAATTCTCTATTCCGTACATGCGTGTACATACATGTCATAGACAAGTGTTATAATTCGATCAAATGTTGACATTTAAGTTAGTGTTCTGCGGATTGCATAGTAAATATTCATTGCAAGATTCTTAATTAGGGTACAATCGTAAGGATTAAGGATAGTAAGGATAGTAAACTTAGGAAGATATTAAATTTAGAAGGATATTGTAAATGCAAGATTTCTTTACATTTATTTCAGTGTACACATATCGTTCGAATGAAACATTGAATGTTATGTACTATGAAATTTGTACATTTTCTGAATTTCATCGAAAGCTATTGTTTGTTGTACGTTTTCTGAACCTCGTCAGCTCATCAGCAACTTTACTCTTCAAGTGAACGCAATAATATTCATCAAGTCCTCAGCAGCAGCCATTTATTATGAACTGTAACTCCTTAAAAATCAATACATTAAACCCTGTTGATGCGAGTATCAGTTTTTGTGTTCTGCATTAACAGATATGATTAATACTTTGTTGGCATAACATTTTCAGGAAACTGGCTCTAAGAGAAGCATATTAAGAGAAAGTGGTACTCATCGTACATATACTTTGTGACATACAAAACACAGTCTTTTATGCCTTCCAGTATTAATATACCTTCCGGTCTCATTACTTCACTGATGTGAGAAACATCGAAATTGGGCGAGTCCAACCCTGAATTTGTTATGGTTAGATAACTAAGGTATAGCTATGTACCAAACGAGACTTTGATAAAGTTCTGTTTCCTTTTTGAAGTTAAGTATGCTAGTCTTGTTAACGAATCTCAGACCAGACGAGAATTCAGCTATGAAACATTAAGGGTGGCCTACGTTCTGCTGTTCCCGGATATAACCAAAACGTATACTAAACAATAAAGACTTTTAGATGCCAGTTAGATTTACCAAAAACTAGCTGCCTGCATAACATATTATCAGACTTCTTTGGGTAGCGATTGTCTGGTATACATATTAAATAATTTTAACCAATAACTTATATCTCTCCCATATACATATATTTTAAGTTTATATTCACCTCTAGCAATATTATTAGGTGTGGAAAACTTAACTTGAAACAAAACAAAACAAAAAAACAACATAAAAACCCCCAAAACTGCTTGCAGCACGAATCATAAGATCACAAATATGAGTTAGTTGGGTTTTAACGCTGCCTAGAGCTGTATCCTAGTCACACAACACCCAACAACCCGTGGGCTGTGCCAACAAACCTGTTGACAACGCATGCATGACGTCAGGGATCAGAAAGGTTAAGGAAATGATATTTGTTTCTATGCAACTGGTCGTTCGACCAGTGAAACCGGAACAAGATAAAGTAAGTAATTGGATGGAACTCAAGCACCCAAACAAATAAAAAAAATTATTTACTAAGAACGTGTATTCCCAAATATACCATGTTACACTTGGCCACTTTCCAAATGACATAATACATTTAGAGCTTTCGGTATGGCAGGCATACTAATTTACACCTGTCAGGAGATTACACGAAGCGCTTTAACCACTTTCCCGGGACCTGTTGTCGTTAGTTTATGCAGATGACTCGGTTGCTGAGTGGTTTAGCTGTGTTTGCATGCCTGCGACTGGGTTCGAACTGACTCTCCTTTACTGAGAACGAGTAATTCCGAATATAACACATGTTGCATGGACTATGTTGCCTACCTGAACAGTATGAAATACTGCTAATAATGTATCTGAGGATTCGCCTGAATATTTGTCGCTATGTAAAATATGTGACATTACTTTTGATATTGTGATAAAATTACCAACTATCTTGGCTATGATTATATATCGCCTAAACAGTGCCGATTTTAATCCAGAACTCATCAGGTAACCTGCTCGTCACATAGTAAACATTTCTAGTTGCTCAGATGACGTGTATTCAACGGGAGATTTTAATGCATGGACCTAAACCCGGAAGGATTTCATTGAAATCGCAGATTCCTTTTTCAATGACAATCACATTGTTGCGGACTTGATACAGTCAGAGTATCGGTGACAATAATCACATTGTTGTGGACTTGATACACACAGGGTATCAGTGACAATAATCACATTGTTGTGGACTTGATACACTTAGGGTACCGGTGACAATAATCACATTGTTGTGGACTTGATACACTTAGGGTACCGGTGCGATAATCACATTGTTGTGGACTTGATACACACAGGGTATCAGTGACAATAATCACATTGTTGTGGACTTGATACACTTAGGGTACCGGTGACAATAATCACATTGTTGTGGACTTGATACACTTAGGGTACCGGTGCGATAATCACATTGTTGTGGACTTGATACACTCAGGGTATCAGTGACAATAATCACATTGTTGTGGACTTGATACACTCAGGGTACCGGTGCGATAATCACATTGTTGTGGACTTGATACACTCAGGGTATCAGTGACAATAATCACATTGTTGTAGACTTGATACACTTAGGGTACCGGTGACAATAATCACATTGTTGTAGACTTGATACACTTAGGGTACCGGTGACAATAATCACATTGTTGTAGACTTGATACACTTAGGGTATAATCACATTGTTGTAGACTTGATACACTTAGGGCATCGGTGACAATAATCACATTGTTGTAGACTTGATACACTTAGGGCACCGGTGACAATAATCACATTGTTGTAGACTTGATACACTTAGGGTAGCAGTGACAATAATCACATTGTTGTAGACTTGATACACTTAGGGTACCGGTGACAATAATCACATTGTTGTAGACTTGATACACTTAGGGTACCGGTGACAATAATCACATTGTTGTAGACTTGATACACTAATAGGGCAGCAGTGACAATAATCACATTGTTGTAGACTTGATACACTTAGGGTACTTGACATCACATGGACTTGATATACTCAGGGCAGCAGTGACAATAATCACATTCTTGTAGACTTGATACACTTAGGGTACCGGTGACAATAATCACATTGTTGTAGACTTGATACACACAGGGCAGCAGTGACAATAATCACATTGTTGTAGACTTGATACACTTAGGGTACCGGTGACAATAATCACGTTGTTGTAGACTTGATACACTTAGGGTACCGGTGACAATAATCACATTGTTGTAGACTTGATACACTCAGGGCAGCGGTGACAATAATCACATTGTTGTAGACTTGATACACTTAGGGTATCGGTGACAATAATCACGTTGTTGTAGACTTGATACACACAGGGCAGCAGTGACAATAATCACATTGTTGTAGACTTGATACACTTAGGGTATCGGTGACAATAATCACGTTGTTGTAGACTTGATACACTTAGGGTACCGGTGACAATAATCACATTGTTGTAGACTTGATACACTCAGGGCAGCAGTGACAATAATCACATTGTTGTAGACTTGATACACACAGGGCAGCAGTGACAATAATCACATTGTTGTAGACTTGATACACTAAGGGTACCGGTGACAATAATCACATTGTTGTGGACTTGATACACTCAGGGCAGCAGTGACAATAATCACATTGTTGTAGACTTGATACACACAGGGCAGCAGTGACAATAATCACATTGTTGTAGACTTGATACACTTAGGGTACCGGTGACAATAATCACATTGTTGTAGACTTGATACACTTAGGGTACCGGTGACAATAATCACATTGTTGTAGACTTGATACACTTAGGGTACCGGTGACAATAATCACGTTGTTGTAGACTTGATACACTTAGGGTACCGGTGACAATAATCACATTGTTGTAGACTTGATACACTTAGGGTATCGGTGACAATAATCACATTGTTGTAGACTTGATACACACAGGGCAGCAGTGACAATAATCACATTGTTGTAGACTTGATACACTCAGGGCAGCAGTGACAATAATCACATTGTTGTAGACTTGATACACTTAGGATACCGGTGACAATAATCACATTGTTGTCGACTTGATACACACAGGGCAGCGGTGACAATAATCACATTGTTGTAGACTTGATACACTCAGGGTACCGGTGACAATAATCACATTGTTGTAGACTTGATACACTTAGGGTATCGGTGACAATAATCACATTGTTGTAGACTTGATACACTTAGGGTATCGGTGACAATAATCACATTGTTGTAGACTTGATACACTTAGGGTACCGGTGACAATAATCACGTTGTTGTAGACTTGATACACTTAGGGTACCGGTGACAATAATCACATTGTTGTAGACTTGATACACTTAGGGTACCGGTGCGATAATCACATTGTTGTGGACTTGATACACTCAGGGCAGCAGTGACAATAATCACATTGTTGTAGACTTGATACACACAGGGCAGCAGTGACAATAATCACATTGTTGTAGACTTGATACACTTAGGGTACCGGTGACAATAATCACATTGTTGTAGACTTGATACACACAGGGCAGCAGTGACAATAATCACGTTGTTGTAGACTTGATACACACAGGGCAGCAGTGACAATAATCACATTGTTGTAGACTTGATACACTTAGGGTATCGGTGACAATAATCACATTGTTGTAGACTTGATACACTTAGGGTACCGGTGACAATAATCACATTGTTGTAGACTTGATACACTTAGGGTACCGGTGACAATAATCACGTTGTTGTAGACTTGATACACTTAGGGTATCGGTGACAATAATCACATTGTTGTAGACTTGATACACACAGGGCAGCAGTGACAATAATCACATTGTTGTAGACTTGATACACACAGGGCAGCAGTGACAATAATCACATTGTTGTAGACTTGATACACTTAGGATACCGGTGACAATAATCATATTGTTGTCGACTTGAT